CCATACCCACCAGACATAACACCTGGTGCCGGGCTACCCGTTCCGGAACTGCGGCTGTTCTTCCTGCCCCGTGGGCTTCCAGTACGGCTGGGTGTGCTCAGCTCCGACACCAGTCGCTGGGCAAACCGTTCGAGACCCGAGGGCCGCGCTGGCGATCCACTGCGGGTTGCGTCGTCCAGACTCGAACGCTCCGGGGTGTGCGTTGAACTATGCCTCTGCGGTGTTGGCTTGCGGGGTGGCAACGGCGGACCAGGTGGGCGGGGCTGGTCTGCAGTCTGGAACGCCTCTCTTCTACCTTGCAGAAGATCCTCGAAGCGGGGCACAGTCTCGCGATACTTGGTGACCTGGTTGCACAACTGCTGTAGAACGACGAGTATACGAGGTAGAGATGACTGTACCCATACTGGACGACGACGGCAGGCATCCAAGGATTCAAGGGTCTGCTGCTCCTCTGATGTCGTAGAATCAGGGTCTGTCGGGGGCCTAAACGACGTGGTCGAGGCGTCGGGTGAGGTAGGGCTGGGTGGCTGCTCCTCGTAGGTGTACTTTTGAGGGCTCCGCAGCATCCACCCTTCGGGTGCCATGTAGCCACAAATGGCCAGGTCTAAGATGGCCTCGGTGAGGGAGAGATTTGTGTCGACGGGGTTCACGAAAAAGGTCTCGAGAAGATCCAAAACCGAGTTGAGCAGCGGGTCGTCCGGGCGAAGCGTGTGCTCGTGCACGTCGCGTGGCGCCCCAGGCAGTGTATCAGGAATAGCGGGCAGGTCATGATTGTTGGTGGATATCTTGGGTGCGACGAGCTTCAGGGAGCAGGGATGACTCTCGAGCCGGGACATGGTGTCCTTCAGGACGTTATCGTAGATTTCGTCAAAGTTGTCCTGCCCTCCAATGGACCCAGCCAAACTCATCAAATAATCCACCTCCTGCTCGTGGGCACCGATAGTCCGGTGCATTTTGGCTCCCAAGACCGCTTCAGTCCGGAGCAGCGTGCTGATAGCATACCGATGATGCCTCCGGAGGATAGCCGAGATCAGCTGGAGAGTCACGCGAATGGTCTGCTGGTTATGTGAGCGTAGACACGCCTGAGCAAGATCGACCAGATTGAAGAGCAAGGGCGTAGCCGTGATGTCGGATTTGGTCTGGGCAAGCATAGTCGCGAGATCCATGGATTTACGCTTGCGAGCCGCACTGATGGAGGCTCGGGAACCTGACATATCTTCGGTGACATGGTCCGGCAAGCCGAGCAGATAATGAAGGATAAGGTTGATCATATCAGGGTGGTCTAGGGATTCGAGGATTCGGCGGAGGTACGTCAAGACAGCTACGGACGAGCCTCCGTCGATATCGGACGACTCTAGTAAAGAAGGGTATCTAAGGAATACGTCAGTGAATGCCATTGCAAACCTGCAAGTGGACGGTCTCACAAGAGTTGCTGGAGGAAAATGACCTGGAAGTGCTCCAGAAGCGTCTGCTTCACCTCGACGGATTTGCAGTGATCTAAGACATCCTGCCAGAAGAGAAGGTGAGAGAGGAAGGTCTCGAGGTGCAGTTGAAAATCGCCAGAGCATGAGCTGATGATTTCAAAGGTGGAGGCTGGGTGTTGGTAGTCGGAGAGAGCGAGGATGGGAGGCAGATCGTTGGTGGGATAGTCAATAACCAGCTTGCGACTCAGCTGACTGTAGAGCGCGCCCAGGCCGGTGGCCATGAGAGTGGAGAGGTCGCTCTCGACGATCCATTGCTCGAGGGACTCGTCGCTCGATGCAGACTCGATGATGTACAGCAGACCTGTCCTGGCAAAGTCTCCAACCTTGCCCTCGTGGTGAATGTAGTCCATCAGGATATAGAATAATGGGAAATCCTGTCTCTGCGTTCGGCCAGCAAATGCATCATGCCCGTCCTGGGGCTTGTCCTTGGGATTTCCATCGTGATGGCTCTTGAACCAGGCGTGCAGTATCTCCCGGTTGAGGCGGATCTTGGTGGTGATGTTAAAAGCCAGCTCGACGACCTTGGCCTCGGTATCGGAGCCCAACCGCACACTGTTGACACCGGTGATGCGCACGAGGAGGTTCGTCAAGCTGGCGGAGAAGGTTGTATTTTCGACAAATGCCTCCTCTTCGGTTTCGAGCAGAGTTGCGAAGAAGAGCACGGCTTCTTTGATGATCCACTCATTGTAGGAAGTGGTGGCTATCTTGCCAATGGGTACGTAGACTTGTTTCTTGGCGGCATACTGGATGCACGGGTGAGGTAGCGGTCGTCGGGACTCGTCGTTGAGGATGTTTGTAAGTTCTTGGAGGCGGAGTTCGAGGTTCTCGGCGGCATCGACGTCGTTGGCGAGATTGGAAGACGACCTCCAGATTTGCTATCACGTGTTAAGACCAGGGCCTCGCCGGCAGCGCAGGGGAAGCTTCTCACGAGGATGCGGTTGTACTCTTTGTCGAAGCGATGCAGACGTTTCGTAGGGTTCTTTGCTTCTTCTTTGCGATGGGCCGCGGGGGACAGCGAGGTGCCTGCTAGGAGGCGCGACCACTAGAATTCGGTCAGGACTTGAGTTTCTTGTTGCCCAAGCCCAAGGTCAAAAGGGAGGGAGGGGTGTTTCGTCTAGGGTATCTCACAAAGTCCATGGTGTTGTCCCTGAAGGCATCTCCAGCAGAGCAGGAGAAGACGGAATTATTCGCGCATCAAGCTCGGTGAGAGGAAGTCGACTTGCGGTTGGCGAAAGAGGAGCAGCAGGGAGGAGGCGGTTGACGGCGGTGGCCAAGGTGAGACCAGGTGGTTTAGGGGAGGATTGGCGAGAAATGGAGACGGAGCTTCGGTGCATAAACTGTCAAGTGTCAGGCGTCGCGAAATGTCATTCCGAGACTTGACCGCGTCCGCTGGCTGCCCGTTGGTGGGAGATCGGTACGTACCCTCTAATGCAGCCCGCCGCGCCTGCCCACGTTGCGTTGCACAACCCGGGCCAACGCACGGACTCTAGGGACTTGGATAAGATAAGACAACGTACTTCATGTGGCGGTGCGGTCTGCTATCTTATGTAATCGGCAGTGTGGCTGATTGAACACAGTCGTTGATGCTCCATCCTCATCTTGCTAACATTCGGACAACAGCCATAGCTCAACGTATTCTTGCTTGGTTCTTCCGTCATGATGTCTTAGTATCACTGTTCAGACTTGTATCCCTTTTACTTCAATTTTACTATGGAAGTCAGAAGAGCCGGAACACACTTTGGTTATTTCCTCCCAAGTGACATGGAGCTATCCTAGGTAGGTGCTCCTTGGTTCATTTCATGTACTTTATTCTCTTGAACATTCCCAGTACCAGATTTCTATTCACTACTTCTAGAGTGAAATACCATCGTTTATATGCGCCTTGGCCCTTTGGTGCCAATCAGCTTCACGTACGTGGGATTCAGGGGCCATGGTGAGGAGTGGCGGCAAGCCGGGCAGTCTTTTACCTCTGCAAACTCCAGCCATCCATAAGATGGATTCTACCCTGCAGACGATCCCAAGTGAAAGAAGTTGAGGCGGCAATTTTGTGATGAGCCTGCTTCAGATCACGCAGAACATTGGATTACATCACCATGTCTTTGGCGGCAATTGCTCTTTCAAAAATAGATTCATACGCCGCCGTTACCTCCTTGTAATCAATATGAGGGGTCGAAATGCCACGCAATCACTTGACACATCCTGAAAGGATCTCGGCTGGTTATGGAAGCCTTAGTCTCGTTCAAATTCTGATGTAGCTTAGCTTTGCACAAAGTTTGAACACTTGTCTTTTGTTCTTTTCTTCGTCATGTCCGCTGCCGCAAGGTTCGAGGTAGCGGGATTGTTATTGCAAGATGTCACTTTGATGACTTGAGTGTCAGCTTGGAACAACCTCCATCTTTCCCTATGGTGGTAAAACCCGGGGTGATTGTCGAGCCGCCGCAAATCAGTACCCAGAGCCGGATGGCGGTAAATTTTCTTTGTTCGCAGCAAGCAGCCAGTTGTTCGGCCTGTCACGTTGGCAACGAACAGTATGTGAACAGTACGATAACAAAGGATATATGGAGAACCAAGGGCTGCATTAGCTGGGATTTCACTTTGGTAAACCGAGAGTAAACAGAAAAACCATAGCCGCTGCAAAAGAGGAAATGTCTTTGATAGTTCCAAGAAAGAAACTGACATCAATGAGCTCAGGGTTTCATTGTGAACACTCTTGGAGCTAAGACATCATCGATAACACCACAATCTTGTTACTACCGCCAGCTGTGATTGCAAATCGAGTGGACCCGAACTTTTCCCAGCGCATTTAAACATCATTTCACCCGGCGTTTTCTTCGCCTAGTGCCGCGATTGATTTTTGTCAAGCAGGTCCTCAGTTTTCGCACATTCACCGAACTCAGAATCTTCCGGTAAACAAAGACCTCGAATCTCAAACAAGACCACGTAGTCATCGTTTCCAGATAGATGTGACAAAACATCCTATCTGAAGACTCTTTAACCCTTAACAACAAGTCTCATGACACCACACAATGTCTCAAGATCAGATCTACAGAAAAGCACTTGGGGATGTCTTCCAATGTTGCGTTAATGTTCAGCTTGACAAACGTCTCGCAGAGCTTCCTGTTAACAGAATGCAGAATTCTGTCGAAAGAGAAAATGAAGGTCCACAGCGCCTGGACCAATATCTAGACGTCTTAATTCCGGAAAAGATCCCAAGCGCAGGACTAGCTAAGCCGTATCCAGAACGTTGGGAAGATACACTCTCAGCTTTCCCAAACGGCAACGTCGGTTTACCTTGGAATACACTTTGTAAAAATATGAAGAAAGCCTTGCATACGCTCCATATCGACGGAGGAAACTTGCGACAATTGATCTCGTTTTTCATAATTGTCGTGCGTTATCAGTGGACATCATTTCCCAAGCGGCTATATATTGACTTCCACAAGATTGATCCTCAGACCTGGGGGAGGATCAGGTGGGAGGAAATCAAATATATCAAAGATTACGCCGAGGAGAAAAATGTTCCGTTCGCCTTCCCATCTATAGATGGCAACCCCGTGTTCGAAAATGTCAGCCGGCGAGCGGCAACCGAAATGCTTGGCGCAGTCATCACCCTCTTCTTTTCCCTCAAAATCTTTCCAGATGTTGAAGAGTTTGCGTGCGATAAGAAGATCTTTCAAATGATAGAAAATTATGTGAGAGAGCCGCTCAAGAAGGCCCCATTGCTGGCTATCAGAGGCTTGGATCGATCCGATCCCATTCCGTGGAACGTTGTCCGTCGGCTAGCTAATGTCACGCCCACGAAACATCTTTTACTCGAGGGATGGCTTAGTGATCTTCCCGAACAGGAGGGAGAGGGTCTTAGGGATTATTCAGACATTACCTTCAACAAGATAAACCTGGGCCGCACTCTCATCAAGTACCTAATCGACTTTTCGGTTGCCAAACTCTCAGCATTGAGATACATCGGGGAGGACTGTACTAAGAAGGGCAGGGAATGGAAGGACCCTCTGCAATTCGTTTTTGACCTTTCTTCTCAAGGAGAATGCTTGGAAACGTTATGCATTGGCTTGTCCAGACCTTCAATCGGATACATGAGCGGTCCTCGCCTCCCTCACATGGGCATGTTGAAGAAGTTGACACACCTCTGGATTGATTCTGACAGTACCGTGCAGCGATGGCAAGCTCTAGACATCATGGAATTCTTTTGGCGATTGGATCCTCAGCCAAACGACACTTCCCCGCTATTTGGTAACCCGCCCAACTTGGTTGATCTTCGCGTCATAGGCCATCCAGACGACGTCAGACGATGGGTCGACCATGTGCGCGGTTATGTGCTTGACCCTGACTCAAAGGTGTGGGAAACTCTAAAGAAGATTGGCATCAGAGATGCGACTCGATTGGAAAGATACAATAAGGATTTGGCTGGGAAGATTGATTTCTATCTCATAGGCGAAGATGAGGACATCAAGCTCTGGAGAATCGGAGGCCATACCAGACGACGCCAATTCTGGGAAGTTGTCATCGAGGAGTAACTCCGTCTGGACCAACTTATAACTACGACACAGCAATACGTCATCGTTGGAAAAAGTTGGCTATCGGCGGGAAGGTTATTCCTTTCGCACGGTACACAGAGTTTCGGTATTAGTTACAATTCTTTTTGCCTCTATCACCGCAGTCGCAATCATAGTTTTACCTTAGGCACTTTAGGCATTCACATTGCTCCATGAGAGTTCATTCATTCATTCAATTCGTAATCAATATAGATTAGCTTCCTAACTATATCATTCAATCGAATCCGTGAAAATGCCCTCAGCGTTAATATCATGGAAGATGAAGAAACTGTTCTGATCCCGGACTTCTCTGCAAGGTTCTTGCTTCTTGCCTCGAACTTGCCACTTTGAAACCCTGACATGGCGAGGCGAATCCCATCCGCTATAATCCAGAGGTGCTATTTTAGCCTTCAAAAATCTCTAGTGGCTTTGGGTGCTGGTATACCGTACTTCTAACACCCTTTCTGCAATATAGGAGTATCCGATTGTCTGATGCTCTAACATGTTCCTGCCTCATTATTCCACGGGATTAGTATTGCCAAATGCATTAAGCCAGGCAGAGGTTACCAATGGCCAACCGCAAAGGATCAACCACAGCCGTACCTGGGAGTCGCCAACATACCCAGCAGAAGCTCAAATTAGTATGGCCATTGGTCATTTATTATTAGCCCTTTCTAGCGTCGAAACAAGTCGGTTTTGACAAAAAGCTTTTCTCCGAGGTCATGGCCGGGCCTGATTCAGTCACTACCGTTGATGAGAGCTCCCTCTCTTACTCTGGTAGAAGAACTCGAATCTCCGGTATCGTTGTCGTGGCAGATCATTCTCACGCTATGCCAGCTACCAGTGGAGCACTTGTTGATCCACGGAAAAGTCACCTTCGATGTCAATCGCACAAGAGGCCAAATCCAAAACCTGGACAACGTCAAAGACATCACTTTCGACGGGTTGATCATGGAAGGGAAACGGACTAGGATTCCTCGGGCACCCAAGCTTGAGGCCTTCAGATATCTTAGCCCGCACGCACAAAGGTGCGGTAATGCCTTCGTTCAATTCAAGACTATTTTCAACTATCTGGCTCTTGAAACGACGTCTCTTAAGATGTTGTGTTTGAGCTTCCCAAACATGCCAGAGTCTCTTTTACAATATGAGTTGTCGAGCATGTTAGAAAAACTGGAAAACTTGACGGCTTTATGGATTGATTTGAGATCGGGCAAAACAAAGGAGCGTACCATTGGTCAAAATGAATTCCTGAAGTACGTTCAATCGGAAGTATTTCTCATGAACTTACCGAAATCCTTGGTATCTCTGGCCTTAACAGGCGACTTCTTGGGCATCGACTCTGTTATCAATCTCGCGGTCAACAACCTCAAAAATCTGAGCGGGGTTGGTATCTCGGTTCTGAATCCACATAGCATCTCCACGGACAATGCGCTCAAACTCGAACACTCTTCGCGTCTCAAAATCTTTTCACATAAGGATGGCGGAGCGCCGGTAGACACGAGTGCTTGGGGTGAAATGAAAGTTTGGAGACTTGCAAATTTGGCTTGGGATTTATCCTGATTCCTTGTCATTTTTCCCTATTTGCTTTCACCCCGCTCCCTTGTGAGAACGTAACCATCGGTTGGTGTACGCCTCTCACTCTCAAAAACCTCAACACGATACTATTTTAGAGAGGGAAATTGCCACGAAGTTAAAGCATCTTCTAACTGGTAATTCGCTCCTTTAAACTCTCTGTCACAAACATACACACATCTTACTATGCCCCATATGTGCGGCTCGATCCGTTTCTTTCTCGAGATATATGCCCTGCCAGGCTTATGTATCTTGACCCAAAAGAAGAGACTCATGGCCGGTTACCACGGCGTCCCCATCACCGGACCCGTGGGCAGTCACTTCTCCAGCCCGGGGTTCTTACTGACCGTACACATCACCCGGCACACATTTAGTTGTCCGCTAACCTGCATATGCCGCACCATAATCCTTGACAATCTCCTGGCAATAGGAATCAAACTGAACATTCCACTCCTGAATGCGCTGGCCCTTAGTTCCCCTTCCTATTTCACCCAGGTCGATATCCAGCGCCCATTGCTTGTCATCTTGGTCTTCAAAATTGGACCACCGCAGGCTGTTTTGCGCAAGGGCGCCCTGTCATAATGTGTTAGCAACGGAAAAGCACCAAAGCTTGTAAAAGGAATCATACCAGTCCAGCGAGGCCAACGTTATCAAACCCTTGAATGACCTGATAGAAGTCGTAGCTCAGCCCGGCGGCGTCCTGTCCCAGCATTGCAGGATCATCGTTGCTAATAGCCGTCGTGACGCCGTGCGCAATCATAGCTGGCAAGGGATGATGCAGAATATCCGTAGCCAGCTGAAGTACCTCGTTGGAGATGGGACACACCTCAACCATGATGTTATTCTTCTTCACAGCATGGATCAACTCGGGATGCTTGTAGAGCGAGAATCCGTGGCCGATCCTTCGTGTCCCCAGAAGAACAGCGTCAAACAGATTGAGATCGGTCGAGTTACCATCGCCGAGTGTCTCCCCTGCGTGAAAGAAGAAGGGCATGGTGAGGTTTTTCTCCATCGCCTCCTGCTGAAACCACAATAGCTCCGGCGCAAGATCGAGCAGGGTACGGCCCAGATCTTCCTGGGAGACTAAATCGTATCCGCTGAATAGCTCTGAAAAGTTGCCCTTCATCTCCAACGCACTTTTCATGCCTACACAATAAGAATTAGCTTCTGTAATCATTGTGTGCAATAATGCGTCTGTGCAAGAGGTCTGACTCACTTGCTAGGATCTGATCCGTCGGCTTAGATCGCTGGTCTGCCCAGATAACCCGAGCACCGTAAAAGGGAGCTAGAGTAGCGTCGGTTTGTAAGGTATCGTTATGCTGACCCTTGAAGTAGGCAAGCTCTTCCTCCATGAGACCCCACCATTTCTTACCGTCAGTGTCATCCGATGCTGATGCCCCAGTCTGTACCAGCTTGCCCGCCGCGCCTCCAGAACGGATCTCAACCCAGCTGATCCTATCTCTCGCGAGTTCTTCAAAGAGATTCCTCCAGAAACTTCGTACAACGGGCTCGTAGATCAGCATAGTCCCTGCTGTGCCAAACAAGGGCTGGAAGCGACGCCAAATTTCATCGACTCCTAATTCGTGCTGTATCGCCACGTCGGGAGCAAGGACCAACTTGCTCATGATGAATTCGCGGAACGCAGGCTCTCCCCCGGGGAACTGCTCGATGGCAGTTTTGACAGTCACAACCTGGCCTGTGTAGTTTGCGGACGCGATGTCGGCCCACTGGCTGACGGTGGCAGTGTTTGGCGGCAAGAATGTAGGCTGAGATGCGAGGCGCCCTTCCGCGGTGCCAATAGTCTTTGTGGTCTTGAATAGCATCCCTTCCACAGAGATGACGGAAGAAAGCAAAGTGCTGTAAGGGAGCATGGCTGAGAGATGCGCATGAAGTAAAGCGCCTTTCGGCATACGCTGGACGACTTTCCACAAGGTCGTGTTTGCGATCTTTGGGCGGGCCAAGGCGAACATCTCGCCGGCAAAGCTTCCATTGTTCAGATTCCAAACTGTCTTCATCTCATTCTGTCGAATATTTTGAACTATTCGGTCTGCGTGAGCGCAATCCGCAGACAGACTCTCTCTAAATTTGGCATCTGTTCCGCATCAATTATTTACAGATTCGTTGGCGAGCACCAGCCTTGAGACATACCTTGTCGCTCTGTCTTCTCTAACGCAATCATGAGATCTCTCGCGCGGTTGTGCTGATCTATGATGAAGCCTGTCTTCTGGAATTGAGCTCTTTCCTGGAGCTCATCTCTCTCGAGGAGGGGATGAGACGCCGCCAGGGCAGAAAGAAGAAAAGCCGTGGACAACTTTGAGAGGTTCATGATGGACGAAAGGTCGCGAGGTCGTCGAAGTGCTGCCTGCCCAAGGTGCAATTGACAATGGTGCGAGGATACCATTAGCGGTCCCTCGCAGGCTGTCTTATAGATCTCCATTTTACTCCGAGACGTGAGGCTTGAGACAGTTCATGATCTCCCGGACTGCACACGGAATGACCCAGAGTCAACGGAAGCACCGTGTCACGGGCCGACCCCGCCGTTTCTCAATAATCATGCCATTCCCTGTAGCTCGCCTGCTTAGTGCAACTTCAATCTCCAGAGTCCGATCTGTCATGCAGAGGGCCGTTCGTTTGTTGCAGTGCTCTTTTGCAGCAATTTCTTTCCGTAGGCCCATCGCATTCTGCTGTGCAGAGTCTCATCCGCTTGATGCCTATTTCAGCAGTGTCGCTAATTCAAAGTCCGACTGAGACACTGCCGAAATTTGACAAGTTTCAGTCACTGGGTCGTTCTTCGACCAACAATATCACAAGCCTAATTCATTCTGCGGGGAAATCAAGACGCTTTCGTTGGAGGCTTGCGATTATCGAGCTGAGACTCCCGCCTCTGCCACGCCTTATCGCGGCAAGGCACGCAGCTTGGTGTTTAGTAGACGTTCCAAGAAAGAGAAACCACAAATTGCTGGCGTTTTAGGCATTCTCCAGACCACCCGCTGTCTTGCACTTGCTAGACTTAATTGAGAATTTTTACTTGGTATTCTTCTCGTTCTTGTTCTTTGGAGTCTTCATTGTACAGCCTAGCGGTGATTCGTCCTGGTTCGCAGCGGAGTCGCTCTGAGCCATCTTCCGAGTGGTAATACCAGGCAGTGCAGTAAGGTTGTGGCATTGAGGTTGAAACTAGTACATGTCCCAAAGCGCCCAAAGATTCAACACGTGGATATCATATTCGAACCAGACGGCATTATTTAGACGCTAGATCCGCCAAGTTCCGGATCCGGAGCGTCTACGATGATAATCGCTGGAAGCCTCCGTTTTTGAGCTAGCGTTTGAGACCACACCGAAAACGGTACAAGACACTCACGTGGAACACTTGTATCACAATGTTTAATACTGTATTCGGACGACGTCTTGGG